TCAAGGAATGGGATTTCAATGCAACTGACTTTCATGGTAACACGGCATTAGCTTATGCTGCGAGGAATGGACACGATTGTACAGTTAAGCTGCTACTAGGAGAGAAGAGTGTCAATCCCGACATAGCAGGTAAACACGGGCTGACACCATTGGCATTGGCTACCATGCGACCGCATGAGGGAATTGTGGAGATGCTATTGGAGCGAAATGATGTCAATCCCGACACAGTAGATGCAGATAGCCAGACACCACTTTCATTAGCTATCAGAGAATGGCATTGGGGAATTGTGAAGATGCTATTGGAGCGCAACGACGTCAATCCCGACAGGGCAGATGCGCATGGCCGGACACCGCTTGCATGGGCTGTCGACAATGCGGATGATGGAATTGTGGAGATGCTATTGGAGCGGAACGAGGTCAACCCTAACAAGGCAGATACCAATGGCCGAACTCCAGCTTCGTTGGCTGCCGCGTTTGGGTATGAGGTAATTTTGGGGATCCTATTGGAGCGGAACGATATCAATCCCGACACAGTGGATGAGGGTGGCCGAACACCACTTTCATGGGCTGCCGGAGAAGGGCATGGGCAAATTGTGAAGATGCTATTGAAGCGGAATGATGTCAATCCCGATGCGGCGGATAAGAGTGGCCGGACGCCATCTTCATGGGCCGCTGAGAGAGGACATAAGGGAGTTGTGAAGATGCTATTGGAGCGGAGCAATGTCAATCCTGGCACGATAGATGAGGATGGCCAAACACTGTTCCCATGGGCCGCGGGCAATCCATCTAGCAGAAACCTGCCGTTCCCAAACGGGGAGCACGACCCCTCTGCTCAATCCGCACTAGGCGATGACTCATCCGAGCCTCTCACAACTGGGTTGTCCGAGCTACACCAACCGCCCCTGAAAAGGGCCCGCAGGATTTGAATTTTTATTTTTTTAAACAACTCCCCTGCCCCCACTCCTATCCTCGATGCGTTCTCCGGATTCAATGATTGGTCTTACCCAACGACCGCCTCTACCCCTCCCACCTCCATCCCGACTCCCCCACTCGCGGGTGCCCGATTTCTCCCCAGAAGTTTCCCATTGCCCCGTGCGCAGGTTGCTTCTAGCGCTGCGACTAAGGAAGGATGCGTGCGGCAGCCCGCCACGGATATATTTTCACATAATTTCTGGTGCATAGTCCTCGATTTCCTCTTTTCTTATACCTCCTTGCTTGTCCCCCCGATCTTTCTTTTCAAGTATATCTATCCCGCCCATCCATGACCGACGCCCCCCGTTCCCCCCCCCCCCCTCATTGGATATACTCCTATCGCGCCCGCTATTTCATCCTTCTCACCCCAATCTTCCTTCTTTTGGAAAACTCTCACGCACGCTTGGTATAGATCTACATAGCGCAAACATGGGGCATCATATATGTAGTGACAGGTTAGGGCTAGGGGGTTTGTGCTCCAACCTGTTTGCATTTTGGGATTGTACGGGATTTCGGACGTGTCATCCCGTTACCAATTCTCTTCCGTGTTTCTCATCTTTTTCGCCCGCGCTCTTTTGGGGGCTCTGTATTTTCCTATCATTTATGATCATGCATTTTCATATCAAGACAAATGCGTTTCTTCTCCCGTTATATAATATCAATCTCCACTACTTTTGTCAATCTTTTTCTTGCTAGTGAAGAGAAGTATTGTATAATGTTACCGAAGATTTGGCGTGCGCGGCAACCTTGCCTCCCACTCCCGAACCCACCATACCCGTGCAAGAACACAGAACTGAGGCAAGTAGTGAGGCGAATAGCTGGAGTGCAAAGTTTTGGTTTTGTTTATGTATTTATTTTATTTTCAAATATTTTTTTTGTTGTGGGTTTTTTAAGCGGTCAATTGAGAGATTGAATGTTCAGAGAGATGTCCGTACGATTGTATCGTGATGTTCGCTAATTAGCGTCATTCAAACACTTAAACTACATGCTCCACACCGCTCCCCCCCAGCTCTTCTGCGTGTTCTCCCCCAGCACTGCAGAAATTTCATCACCCCTGGATCCCTATTTTGTCACCCTCTCTTTTGGAGGATGTATGGAGGAAAATTAAGGCTTGAAGAAGGAATATGCATTTTGATGGCGATTGTTGAAGTTCTTGCCCTTGAGCTATTGCCATTTGCAGAGACGGCGCTCTAGCAGCGGCTTTACTCTGTCATGAGGGAAGTGTGCTTGGGAATAGAGATAGTGTGTGTGGTGATACATGGAAGCGCAGAGGTCCTCTTAGCAGTTTTATACATATCTTTTCCTATCCCCACACCGCTCCTACCGTTCCTATACAATATCCTAGTCCCTGATGAATCCCAGGCTCTATCACCCTGGCATTTATTTGATATGTGGATAGGGAGGAGCTCCCCAAACTCCTCTTCAAATTGAAACGAATGACCAGGAAAACTAAATCCCCGGTCCCCAATCCTTCTTTCTTCGTCTTGGTGGAAATCTCCCGTAATTAACTTCCATATACCGGTAGTGCGCATCGGAGGATCGTAATTTAGGTTGAAAAGTGATTTTCTCCCTCATGCGTTGACGTTCCGTCAACGGAAGCGTTAGACCAAACCTTGGGAAACAACCGCCCAGCAGTTGAGAACTTTAATATTGGGGTACCGTACTGTGTGATGGTGAGTAACCCCGGAGTGTAACTTTGGTCAAATACCTCCCCTAGAACGTATCCCTACTACCTACTCGGTTGTGTATCCCGGGTGTGCAAATCACCAGTTCCTTTGTCTCGGGGAAATAATTGTCTGAAATCGGGGTTCGGAATGCGATCAGGAACAAGCGCTGTAGGCTAGCCGGACTGGTAAACCTGCTGCTGGCAGAAGCGGACGGACAGCTTACAACGAAGCTAGAAGCTCAAAACCGGCGGTTAAATAAAGGAAACAATTATCGAACTTAGAGAGGGAATTTCCAACGCCGCTCGTCCCACTCTGCCCCGCTCACTTTCTAAACCCTATGTCTCTAAATCGAATAGTTGGTAAGTCCTGTGTGGGCTGGACCCCGCCTTGGTGCGATGTCCAAGATCGTTGGGTGAGATTAGTTGCCGGGTGGAAGTCCCTGCATTGCGCCCGTAGCATTTACGCAGTGGTTCATTGCCCTGGATTACACCGAGCAATGCCGAGTTTCCATTGCCGGCCGCGGGGGGGTTGGAGCCTGCTCTAGAGTAGAGATGTAGCTCGGTCCGGCCCGGTATTGGTAGGTGATTGTGTACAGCATTTCCGGGAGTGGGCGCAAGTCCTGCACCCAAGCTAGAAAAAAAGGACTAAGATATCCGAGGTTAGCATCCTGTGAGAAAGCTAGGATGAAAGAAGCAAAAGACTAAAACATGGCAAGAGATGAGAAAGGAGCACCCCATACTTGAAAACAGTGTGGTCGCGAAGTTGAGGGAAGCGTGCGGGAAGGATAGAACAGGGTCAATTTTAGTCTGGTGACAAAAGGAGAAAGAATAGAGGTGGAACTGAAAAAAGGTACCATAATATTATTATGATAGTTGCGAAATGGGGGGGACCAGCCCAAACAAGCGATAGCCCAAACCTAACAAAGGAACCGAGTCACGTGCCATTTTTTCCTCTGGACTGAACAGCAGCCTGAGAAGGGGGAAGGGTTAGGCGGGATGGCAGGGAGCGTCGATTACTTCTGGCCGCACCCGAAAGCTGTAGGAGAAGAAAATCGGATCTAGAGCATTTCACAGTCATTCAAGGTGTAAGAAACCAGTGAGGTAGATTCCAAGGTCAATTATACCATAATATGGAATGGAATAGATGAGCCCCGCCCTAGGAGCTTCCGGCCTGTTTTGAAAAAAAAAGGAAGGAAGCGCAACCATACCGTTTTGCTACAATTTTGTCGTAAAAGTGGTCCCAGAATTTTTGCAACGGAAGGTAACGGTCATTTGTCTGGGGCAACTGAACTGAAAGGTTATATCATACCGCCAGGTTACTGTACTAGAGGGACAGGGGGACATCTTTGTTAGAGAGGTGGAGAAAGGAGGTGAACAGTAAAATGCCTGAAGATGGTGCAAGCCAGAGTTTCATTGATCACGAACCTTGTAGCCCCTTTCCGAAGTTCACGGGCGCAATCCAATCAGGTCCAAATTCCGGTTGGATCAGCTACGGAGATGGTAGGCTACCTTCAGGAAAGGGCCAAGTCAAGCCTGAACACAAGCTTTTTTTCACTTAAGCAGCTATAATGTTTAATCATACAAGTTCCCTTAACCATGCTGTAAACCAATAAACATGAAGTTCCAGGAGAGGATAGTGGAGGAGTTATGGTAGTTCCATGTAAGGGTCAGAATAACTACATCTGCGGGGGTCAGACCTAACAGTTATTAAAATGTAATACAGGCTACGAATCCTCTCCACACCACAAACCTTTAAATCCTAATCACATGACCCACCCAATGCATTTGGTGCCTTTGATATGCTCGTTCACAGCACCCTTGGGGAGGGCCCAGAAACCAAGACTAATGAGTCATATCTCTTGCGTACAACTTGCATCGTAGCTGACACTAACAGACGTGGGCAATATATAAGAACTACTACGTGCACGATGTCGGGATCCCTGTTGCTGTGGCACAGCATGAGTTAATTTGTCCTCTCCTCTCCTCCTTTGGTTTCAGAGAATTACCAGTGAAACGATGAAAGCCTACAGTAGTACTGGACCCTGATTTATCGGTAATGTACACCTAACCCCTCTTTTGTTCCCCTTGCCATACAGCGAAAACCTGTACAGTATGCCTGTGATTCTGGTATTGGGGAGAGAATGCCTAACCCTGATGCTAGCACGTAATATTTTTTGAATTTCCCCGCTCCATCCGGTAAGAGGTGATATGGTAACTTAACGGTTGGTAACCACCGGGCCTCCGATATCGATAACGCCCATCTCCCCACCTGGCTTACCCCACCAACCAACCAACAAACAAACAAAGAGCCCAAAGGAAACCAGAGAAATGGTATCGTAAAAGTAATCAAAAATCAAAAACGGAAAAAAACCCAGCTTCGTTAACACTCACGTCCACCGGGTGTGGCACCATGGGGGTCGCCATTCCCTGCGGAATCCCCTCCAGCCTCAATAGCCTCCGGCTCCCCGGTGCTTCCTATACTAGGACACCGACCGCTACCCTCCTCCCTACACGCTTCCACGATGCCTCCAAAGGCCCCATCTGCCTCCCCACGAAGGTCATCGCCTGCATCAAGCGTCCCAAGGCCGCTTGCCAAGTGGGCTGCTCATTCGAGGGGTTTACCGGCATGCCCGTTGGGGTCTCCACGCGTTGCAACGTTGAGGGGGCGTGGTGCGCGGGCGTGGTTGTTCTGGGCTGTGGGCCGCAAGTGTGCGCTGGTCTATTGGGCGGGGAGGGTATGTGCAAGGCATTGGAGGGCAAGCTGCTCACTAGTATTACTACTGGGGTTAAGATTGCTGCGCTGGATCAAGTGGTGCCTGGTACTACTAGGGTGGTTAGGGCTATGCCAAATACTGGAGTATGGTATCGCTTCAAAGGTACGATTGTCACTAATTACCCTTTGGAGGGCAATTTCTGTTTTTTCTGGGAGGGTCAGTGTATCAAGGGGGGATATATTCGCGAAATCGTGAGCGTAATCGCGATGGGGGGCCACATTCCCACGGCAAAAAAGTATCTAGTTTCCTGCATACCGGTACTCTCGCAGATCGGCTGCTCGTTGGTGCTCGGTTAGGATCTCAGCGATGTTTACACCACCATGTGCAGATCTGATCCTGCTTTCTACGCTCTTAATGTGGAGGTCATGGGTGATGGAGGGGCTGTGATCGGATTCCCGAGGGCGGAGGTGCAGGTGATGGCTGGTAGACTTAGACATTGCCGTCTCGATTCCCTCTTGATTCGCTTGTTTATTTTCTGATGTGGTTGGGTGTGTGGGGGTGTATTGTGTGTATGGAGGGTGCCTGTAGAAGGGCTTTGGTTGGCCAACATCCGGCAATTATCCGGGAGCGGGTTTCCTCTGCAGCAGGCTGCAACAGCTATGGCTTACTCATCTTAGAAGCTGGAATGGTTTGCTTGACCATTGTTAGAACGGTCCACGATGCTTCCAATATGGCCACTGGACTCGGTAATAAGTAGGGAGCTGTTTCTGGAAAACGGATACTTAAAACGGAAGAGGTATATGCTAAATAACAAGGTTAGACTTCCATATTGGCGGTAGATAGCGCCGTACTTGACGGAACAGATGGTTTCACTGGGTGATCATAGATGCATGGTTTTCTGATATTCTACAGAGAAAAGGGTGTTCATTCCCACAAATATAGACAGCCTAGGATAAAGCGGAAGGGGTGGAAAAAACAAGATGGGGGGGATGGCGCAGAAACTATCCACAATCGCACCAAGGACAAACAAGCAATGATGCCCAGTAATTCCATGAGGCAACCCGAGGAATGTCTCCATCTCCCCATAAACATCCATAGTCCATTTCTGTTGACAGAACGTGGCTGGTTCTTCACGCTCTCGAACATTATCTTCACAAGGGGAAAGGTGTAGGCGAAGGGAAGGAAAGAAAGAAAAAATGAAGAGGAGAAACAAGATTTCGTAGGCTGGGAACGTTCTAGGAGTCTTCGGCCCCTGTCTTAATTTACCTGGTTACGTTTAGCCACAGAAAGGTCACAAGGGACCTGGCTTGGAACCAACTACACCACGCAACCATATAATGACTTAGGTCGGATCAATAGATAATGTATCTGTTCATCTTTTACCTCTTCGCCAAGTGTATCAAAGTGTATCGTAAGCTAGTAAATATTATATGAAGCTGATTAGGGGTATGGTACCCGAGGCTTAAAGTTTATCTCTGCCTTGTTCCCTGTGAAAACCGACATAAAAGCCCCCATTACCCGTACCGGTATGCCAATCCTCTTTCAACACTCCGCTAGCACACCATCAAAACTCAAAATCAAACTCATAAAATGAAGCCTTATTCCCCCGGGGATACCAGGGTGCATGCTGTGATCACCCTGCGCATGATAAAGACTATCATTCCCGAACTTCCCTCACCATCATCCATCCCCTCCATGATCTCACAATTGGGCATGACTCCGGTCCTCGAAATCTGGGCCTCTCGGTTGACATCCTCGCAATACACTGGGGATAGGTTAGAGGAACCCGAGCTATCATATAGGTTTCGGACGAGAGCGCCCTCCTCCTGCAGAGAAAATCGTCAATAGAAAACCGGTCCGGGATATACCTTATGCGAAGGTAGAAAAGGAGAGCAGTTGTGAATAATTGGCCTCGAGCTGAGAGGTTTGGGTTAGATTAACGGTCCCCCCATTAACTGTTGGTCCCCTCCACTTTCGCTCTAAGTATGGAGTTTCCCGGGACAGGAGAGTTAGATGGAGGCTAATCGAGGATCTAGAAGCCCGAACCGCCCCCAGTAACCAACTACCCAATACCCGCGTATACGCTGTCCTAACTATTGGCAAGCCAGCCCTGATCCGTCAGATAGTGTAGCCAAATTTGCCGACCACCATTGGAAATGCCCTGAACATACTCAGGCCAGTGAATTCATAATCCTCTGATGCGATGCCTTCGCAGAGAACGCTTCCTATGGCATTAGAATCGCTCAAGGACCTTAGGTACCACAATCCGGCTACGTTCCGTCTGTTTGCAGATCGCGGACAGGAGATTGCGCTTCCGGCGCTATCCCGCAGAGCGGTCTTCACAAGCTCGGGCGTCGATTTGTTTGTCCATTGCATCTTTTTGACACTGCCCCTGGCCGCAGAGGCATTATCAGGATCGCAGTCAATGTGAGATCGATGAGCTATTTAATGTTATTCTGAGATGTAGGGCTGAAGCGCACCACACCGGATTAATGGTGCGGAGGTCTCCGGTGCGTCAACTATCGGGGTGGGAGAAGAGAAGGGAATATCGAAGGCATTCGACGGAGCGGAGATGTTACTCAGGCTGCTGTTGCCATTCCTCTGTCACCCTGCGAGTTCATAGGTCATCACACCACTAGGGCAGATTGTCAGGCTTCCTGGTAGGTTGGCCGGATTACCCAGCAAGGCAGACGGGACCAGTCCCGAGATCGGGAAGCCTGAGAGAGAAAGGCAGTGTTCGCAACCGTCCGGGGCCCCCGTAGGGCCCGGCTGAGGGACTGCCAAGAGCCCAGGACGGGACGGGACGGCAAAATATAGTCCGCCCTCGTCCTTGAACTCCTAGGACGGCCATCATGAGGAAAGACGACGAGCCCCCCAATCTGAGACAACTCCTGGTAGGGAACGGCAGGTGACTACATAGGACCACCGGGCATCGTGGGGGACGGCGGGGGACAGTAGGGGACGACGGGGACGGTGGGGGATGACAGGGAAATGTCGGTGAGTGTGAGCAACTGTTGGGGACCGCGGGGGACTACTGAATAAATCCTATCCACGCCATGTCCCCACACCCTCTTAGAATAATTCTGAGTTTGCCAGCTAACCTAGCAACTTACTAGTGTACAAAATTTTCCTCATAGCTTCGTATTTTTGTAAGCGGGTAGGTTACATATCATGAATACAGAGACTTGGATCTCAACGTAAAAAGAAAAGACCATATATCTGAATTGTCGCTATGTGTTGTTGTATCCTTTATCTTCTTCTAAATATTCTAAGAGCTCCTAGTGGTACCGCTATTCTTGTCAACATAATACTGGGAAAAGCAATGGGACCCTCTAGGGTGAGACATTTGTCGTAGGGGACGGCCGGGGAATGGTCCTTCATTCATACTTGTCGGGCATGTTGAGAAAATGACCGGACGGGACGACAAAACGCCGTCCGTCCTGGTCCTGGTCCAGGACGGACGGACTGCCCAGTTGCGAACACTGGAGAAAGGGCAATTGTCAGACTATCGAGCTTAAAATGCTGTGCATTAGACCTCCTATGCTCTGTAATCGAGCGATTAGGGAGAATATTCGCTCCGTTGGTAAATCTAGTCATAACAGCTGGTCACTATATACGCCGAGCATCGCTCCGATATGGGGGTTCGAATTGTAGTCTATACCCACCTCACTGCGCTCGTAAACCTCTTCCGACCAGGTCTTGACGAACGAACTGTATCCTCGGTCTATTTAATCTTTCCCTCGCTCTAACTTATACCGACCTCTTCCTTAACGGCGATGGACCCAGAGGTCGTCCTCATGCCAAGCTGACGGGAAAGCGTGGCAACAAATATGCTGGAAAACAGAAGGAAGCGCAGACAGGCTCGTTCCTGTCACCATCATTGTGGATCAACTCTCGACCGATGCGGATTCAGGGGGTTATCTCCCCCGCGGAAGGACTCTTGACGGCTGTGCTGGGGAAGCTTCCGCCTAGCCATGTCCACTGTCGGGTGAGACGGCTGCTAGATCGCGTTGCCATATTTAACATGAATGAGAAGGTGATCATGGCAAGTGCCTTGTGCCCGAGTACTGCCCGGAAGGGAAACCCCAGGGGCGGGAGCATACTCCCCCACCTAGTGGGCGCAAGTAGAGAGAATTTGGCGGTTGAAGAGATTGTCAGGCCAAGACTGCCAGTCCTTTGAGTTGGTATAGTCAATGATGTCGAGGAGGGGCAGGCGGAAGCAGAAGCAGATGACGAGGAAATAGAGGGGGAAGAGGAGAGCTATGTGGCCTCGAATCATAAAACAAATACAGCCCAATTAAACAACATAACAGAGAATCTTCGGGTAAAACGCAGAATATGGCGCAGCCACCATACCGCCCCCTTTCCGAAACGCCAGAGTCCATATACACAAAAACCGCCCCCCCATTCCCAGCCAGCGCTAGGACAGAATCATGTTCCTGCGCCTGCTCAGGGACTCCGGTCTGGTAAAGTAGCTTCTACAGCACACGCCACACTGGATTATACCTTGTGGAAACCGCCCAACAAACAATCCTAGAAGTCCAACAACCTCAACTGACACCTACCACCACGGAGGAGGCATGTTTCTAGGCGTTTCCATATCATACGAACCGAATCAGAGAGGGCTTGAGTTGGAGTTTGTGGCGGCATTTTTCGCGTTGTTTTCCGTAGTGTAGTTATGGAATCTGGTGTTTGCGAATGTAAGGGGCGGAGGATTGACTTTTCCGAGGTGATAAGAATTTCTTGTAATGGTCGTCCGCAGCCTTGATGTCACTACGGTAGTGTGCCAGAGACAGAGACAGAGAGAGAGAGACTGGGAGACAGCTTCGATAGAGGGGCAGAGAAAGGAGGTCAACGGTGATGCCTGAAGATACTGCAAGCCAGACTTCCGTTTATCACAACCTTGTAGCACTTTCCCAAAATTCAAGGGCCAAATCCAGTCTAGTTCAATTCCGGTTAGATAAGCTACGGGGATGGTAGGCTACCTTTAGCGGAATAGCCGGGTCAGGTCAAAACAGTATCGTTTCCCCTTCTTCTGCCGTGATGTTACTACAAGTCTACATTATTATAGCCAAAACCGATAAAACATGAGGTTCCGGGAGAGAACGGTGGAGGAGTTATCATAATTAATTGCGTGCAAGACTCAAAGAAATATACGATAGGATAAGAGCGAATCCTCTCCACACCCACAGACCTAGAATCAGGGTCACGTGACCCACTCAATGCTTTGGATGCCGCCGGCATTCTCGCTCATGGTTAAGTTACCGGAAGGGAAACCTGGGAAACCAAGAATACCGAGTGATATTCCGGGCGTGCTTTACAGCTTATATATGATAGTAGTCAACACCAATAGACCGGGCGTGATGGACTATTGCACTGTATAATATCCTATGATACAAGTACAGCATCCACCACGCGGAATGGCGAAGTCGAGATCCCAGTTACTATGGCATAACTAGAGCTTATTTGTTCCATCCCCCCCTCCTCTGGATTCAGAGAATTATCATACCAGTGAAACTATGAAAGCCTAGGACTAGACTGTGATCGATAGGTAATCCACACTTCCCCCCTTTTCTGTTCCCCTTGCCGATATGATAATCGATGCATGACTACCCTGTGAACTAGCCACCGGCTTCGACTGGCTTAGACGGGCCTCTCTAGCAGAACTCCTGCAGAGCATTCAAGCACATTTATATTCCGACACGAAGCTCTTGCTTGCCGTTAGCAAGGTGAAGCCGTACATGACTCTCAGGG